CCACCTCCTGTACATCCAAATATCTGCATTTCCACCTCCTGTAAATCCAAATCTGCATTTCCACCTCCTGTAAATCCAAATGTCTGCATTTCCACCTCCTGTAAATCCAAATCTGCATTTCCACCTCCTGTAAATCCAAATGTCTGCATTTCCACCTCCTGTAAATCCAAATCTGCATTTCCAGCACCCCAGCACCCAACAGCCTCCCTCCTTACACCACTTGGAACCCAGGGAAAACATCCTGTGTCGATCCAACCCTCCAGTGCCATGTCCAGGCCGCAGCAGTGACCGTAGGAGGTGCTCACAAGAGTAAATCAGGTGAGTAAGAGCTATAAACACACCTCACACCTGGATTATTCTGCTTTATGTCTCAGAGATTCAGGAAAATGAAGCAAAAAGGTGGAGCTCCAGCACCAACATGACCTTGGATTCCCCTTGAGCGGCGTTTCCGTGGGTGTCCTTGTCCTCAGGTACATGGGAAGGGGTTGGTTTGAAACCTGGGAGCTCAGAAATCAAATGAAGAAACATTGAAAACTGGGAACATTGAAATGTGAAAGGAGGAGTGTGATTTAGGCATCAGACGGGAGGTGGGAGCGACACACCCAGGAGTATAAGATGTGTAACAAAATGGGTAAAACCTGCATTTCTCTTCCCAATTCCCCGTTTATTACAAAAAGTGGGATTGGGAAGTTGCATTCCTTGCTGTTTTACTGCACTGAGTGAACACCAGAGGGCAACCTTTCATTTCAGCTGGAAAATGGGGAAGAAATCAGGCAAGAGCAGCCTGGGCTGGTGGGAGTGTCCCTGCCCATGGAATGAGGTGGGCTTGGAGGTGCCTTCCCACCGAAACCAGCCTGGGATTCCAGGATTCTGGAGCCCCTCTGCTCTGGAGCCAGGCTGGGAGAGCTGGGAATGTTCCCCTGGAGAAGAGAAGGCTCCACAAACACCTTGGAGCCCCTTCCAGGGCCTAAAGGGGCTCCAGGAGAGCTGGAGAGGGACTGGGGACAAGGGATGGAGGGACAGGACACAGGGAATGGCTTCCCACTGCCAGAGGGCAGGGATGGATGGGATACTGGGAAGGAATTCCTGGCTGGGAGGGTGGTGCAGGGCTGGGATGGAATTCCCAGAGAAGCTGTGGCTGCCCCATCCTTGGAAGTGCCCGAGGCCAGGCTGGAGCAGCCTGGGATGGTGAGAGGTGTCCCTGCCCGGGGCAGGGTGGGATGGGATGGGATTTGAGGTCCCTTCCCACCCAAACCATTCCAGGATTCTGGAGCAGATGTCAAGTCCTGCAGCCTGGCAGGGACTGAAGGAGAGCAGGGATTGAAGGAATTTTTGGTCATTGCCTCCATGTCTGCCTGACATTCTCAAAGGTTTATGAAGAGTTCTGAAAGGTTTATTATGAGTTCTCAAAGGTTTACTGAGATTCTCAAAGGTTTACCGAGAGTTTTCAAAGGTTTACTGAAATTCTCAAAGGTTTACTACGAGTTCTTGAAGGGTTAGTGAGATTTTTGAAAGGTTTACTAAGATTTCTCAAAGGTTTAATAGGATTTTTCAAGTGTTTACTGAAGAGTTCTCAAAGGTTTACTGAGAGTTCTCAAAGGTTTACTGAGAGTTCCTAAAGGGTTACTGAGATTTTTCAAAGGTTTACTGGGAATTCTCAAAGGTCTACTACGAGTTCTTGAAGGTCTAGTGAGATTTTTCAGAGGTTTACTGGGATTCTCAAAGGTTTACTGAGGTTCTCAAAGGTTTATTGAGATTTTTCAGAGGTTTACTGAGGTTCTCAAAGGTTTATTGAGATTTTTCAGAGGTTTACTGGGGTTCTCAAAGGT